AAACAGAAACATTGTATACATATATATATATAATATGCATACTCAAAAAATATTTACTATGTTTTGAGTACTGTATTATTTCATATGTATCATTTTTTATTTTTATATTGGGAGAAATTAAAGCACGATAAAATAAAATTTTATCATTATCATATGCAAGAAGAAATTGTGCAATTACATAAAACAACTGAAAGTTATAGTAGAAATTGTATTTATTTATTAAAAATGAAATATTAAATGTTTCAAATTTAATAGTAAAGAATATATAAAAATATTATGAATATTATTATATACTTATTATTATATTATACATAATATTTTATTGATGAATATATAAGATTATTTTGAAAAATGATGTGTTTTATATCTGATTATGATTTTAGAAATAATTAGAAAATGGATGCGTTTCTGTCTTGGATTGTTATCATCAACACAAGGAGTAGAAACACTACACGAGGATGAAATTACTGTTGGAAGTCAAATAAAGGAAAAATTGTCTATATGTGATGCAGCACAGTTTGACAAATTGTACAATGAGTTAAGATGTGGGGTATGATATTAACTTAATTTTTAAATTTATAAAATTTTATATTTCATAAAATTCTCTTGCTCTGCCCAATATTTATCTACAATACATATAATAATTGTGGTTACTTTTAAATTCAATTAATACATATTCTTTTATTTTATTTTGTTTATTATTTTTTATATTTTTCAGTCTTTTGTTGATTTATTATTGTTACTGTTTTTTCTTATTCCTTTTGTGTAATTTTGATAGCTAGTAACTTTGATTATATTTACATACATTTATGTATAATTGTATGCATATTGTTTATATATTTTATTCTCTATATTATTATAATATATTTAATCCTATTTTTTGTAATAGGCTATTACTATTGGAATGTCAAAAAAAAAAAAAAAAAAGTAAGAAGCACAATTAAATGGATATTTAATCATAAAAATAATGTTGTACAGATATTCAAAACATATTTATGCCACACTTATTATAAATATATTAAAGTTATTAAAAAAATGTATTTTTAATTTATTATCTATATAGAGTGAATTATTTATGTAGAGATAGGGTAAAACAATATTTATAAAATACGTAATTAAACATATTTTTCAATTCTTCTTTTTATTGTAATTATAAAAAATACAATTTAATATTTTTTTGTAATAGTTTATAAAATGAAAAATAAATTAACTAATTTAAAAAATTTTACTTATTTTTACAATTATAAAAAATTGTTTCCAATCTTGCTAAAAAGTATAAGTTATCATTTATATATGCTTATCTGTTATTTAGCCATTAAAAAACAGAACGCAGGTTCTAATATTTTTATTAAACATGTGTCAATCAGCTGAGCAATTAAGAGATAGAGTTTTTTCGGCACCTGATTTAAGATTAGGTTTGTGCTCATCTTCTGCATCCTCTAGTGGTAAGCAATATATTTTACAACTTAGATCATTTTTTTATTTTTTAACTATTTAGAATGTTAATACAACTCAGAGTATTTAATATATAATATATTTTATTACTTAGGACAGTCATCTGAAATTTGTGCACCACCACAAATTATGTCTCTAAGTAACACAGAAAAAAATACAAGAGATCTTTTAACAAGTTCTAATAAGATATATGGAGAAGAATATATTTCAGAAGATATATTAGTTCAAGATCTTATATATTCATTTCAAGGTATTGAAGGAAAAATACTAAAATTAGATTCAAATTATGGTTTCCAAATAGATCCAATGATAAGTATTGATAGACCACAGAAGCAAGCTACATTGCGATTAAGTGAACTTGGATATTTACATAACATAGTACAAAAAGGTTTAGAAAGAATGTCAGCTGCTACAAGTGGCCAAGTAGCTGATAGTTTTGTTGCAGCATTACATTCTGAGTTATCTGAATATTACAGATTTATAGCCCTTATTCAAGAAGAAGTAAACAGGTATTGATTGAAATATAATGCAAAGATATATAATATTTTATTAATTTATTATAAAGTACAACATGTCTAAATATGTAATAGAGTCCAATCTGAACCAGGATCATACAGAGTTACATTATCCCATTTGCATCTTTGGGCATATGATCCTTTAGAAACATTAAAATGGTTAGCAAGTATAGTAAAAGCTTGTCAAGGACAAAAAGGTGGTGCATTAGCTTCTGCAGTGTATGAATTTAGTAACTATGGTGATGCTAGTGTAAAAAAATTGGTTAAAAGAATTTTGCAAAGTGTTTGCGATCCTCTATATAATATGTTGATAAGATGGATTGCAGATGGTGAATTAGATGATCCATATAGAGAATTTTTTATTGAAGCTTGTGCTGATATTACTGGAGATAGAATGTGGCATGAGAAATATCAGGTTCGCAATAATATGCTACCATCTTTTATCACGAAGATGCAAGCTAAACAAATTTTAGGAACAGGAAAGAATATTAATTTCTTGCGTGAAGTGTGCAAAGATTTTACTCCATGGCAAGGGAAACATACAAAAATGTTTAAAAATTTCAGTGAGGAATATAAGGGTGATTATATTTAATAATTTTAAATGTAATAAAAATAATGTGCATACATATATTTCTTTTACCAAATTTAGATATTTTAAGTAAATAGTTAGACATTTGGATGCAAAATTTGTGTTCTTTAGTTGACGTTCTTTTTGATATGGACCCTGACGGCCGATTACAAACAATGATGGATACAGCTTACAAAGAAACTTCAACTAGAGTAGTTGAAATTTTAACTAAACAATATCATCTCATGGAACATTTACATGCAATTAAGGGTTATCTATTATTAGGACAAGGAAACTTTATTCAACATCTTATGCATTTATTAGAGTAAATAATATTTTTTAGTATAAATTTTTGTATTTCTATATATATGAATCCCATGTATTTTAAACAAATATTTTTTAACAATTAAAAAATAACTCATGTTTTATTATTTATATTACATTCATTTATAGTACATATAGTATATTTATAAGTACATTCAAATTAAATTCTGAACTTTTAAATCTCTTTTTGTTTTAGTTACAAAAAATGTATCTTTAATTTATTAAATTTAAAACAATTTATGTTTAATCCCATTTCTTGCTTCCAATTATACAATGGTTCACTCTACATATACTGTTTACTTTATTTTTAGTTTTTATATTATTTTTTCTGTATATATCTATATTATAGATCAGAATTAGATAAACCAGCCAGTTCTTTATATCCACATAATATATCTTCTATTTTGGAGACGGGAATAAGAGCGACTACTACAAAGATAGATGACTTAGATGTGCATAGGCGACTTGATGTAAGATTATTAGCACCTTCAGAAAATGAAAAAGGATGGGATGTCTTTATTCTCGACTATAATGTAGGAGGTCCTATTGGAACGGTATATATGATAATAATTTGTATTTGTTACTGATGATTTGTTGTTAAGAAAAAGAACATATAAATCTTTAATATTAAAAATAGTAAGATAAAGGTTTTATTTATCAGTAAAATTGTATTATTTTTTTATGCGCCTCTATCAAAGTATATAAAGAAATTGTATTGGAAATATGTTTGAAGTCTTGTACATTTAAGTATATAATTTTATTATTTTTTATATTTTAGGATATTTCTACTTTTATAATAATTAAACAAATAAAATTTTATTTCTTTAGATTTTAGAACCTTGCAGGCAAATATATCAAACTGTATTTTTTGCTTTATGGAGAGCAAAGCATATGGAATCTATACTATCTGCAATTTGGAAACGTCAAACAACTTCAGCAAAGATGTTTCGTAAAATGCCTGAAGTATTACCAATTCAAACTCATATTCATTTAATTACAAGTAGTATGGTACATTTGGTTCACCAAATGCAGTATTTCTTCTTATTTGAGGTAAGACAAAAAAATAAAATGGAGCATTAGCAGTATATTAATATAATTAAATGTATAATGCATAATAAGTATATTAATGACTATTACTCAAATTAAAAAAGAAAAAAATTTTTTTTTTTTTTAAGAAAATATAGCATCAATCTCGTACAGTCATTATTTAAAGATTTAAATACTGCTTCTTAAGTAAAAATATATTTTTTATGATGTTTATTATTGCATTATATATTGACAATATATCACAATTAAAATTTTTAATTCTTTTTTCTTTCCTCTAATGATATACTTTGCTTTAATAACAATTTTATTTTTTGAAGATATTTGTTTTTATTAACTTAAGATATAAAAAGTGTTATAAAATTTTAAGGTAATTGAATGTTCATGGGATGCATTTGCAAAACAATTGGCACAAGCAGCATCATTAGATGACATAATTACAGCACATACTCATTTTATAGATGCTGTAAGACGTGGTACATTATTAGATGAAAAATCACAGGTATATAGCATACAATAAGCATACATATAATTTTTTTAGGAATATATTTCTTTACAAAATCAATATCAATTAATAAACATATATTAATATCAATTAACAATTGAATTGAAATGATATTCTTATGAGATTCATAATATTTTCTGTATTAAAAAAAAAAAACATTGTACGGTAGTGATGACTTATAGCTATTTAATGGTAATAGCTAAAGTGATTTTGTAGTGATTTATGAAATTTGAAAATGTTTTGTTTTATAATATACCATGTTTTTATATTTATATGTTAATAGTAGATCCTAAAATAAATACTTAACAATTTTATAGAAACAAACATTATTAGATATATAATATATGTTATTCATATAATAGATATATTATTCATAGATAAATTATTTAAAGTTAAAAACAAATTATCATATTAAAAATTATTCTACCTATAAAAATTTCTGGTATTTATGTATTTTATATTGAAATATTTATTCGAATTAATTGTAATCAATTTTATATTAACATTTGTAATGTAGAAAAATATATTCGTAATGTACATAAATTTTATTTAATAGGAACTTATGGATCACTTACGCTCCGTATATGGTCCAATTTTAGATTTACAAAATCTTGAAGAAACATTTCTTGCGCGTGCAACTCATGAGTACGAAATCCGATCGAAGGATAATCATTTATTAGATGTAACTATTGTGACATCAAATCGATTAGACTTTTCGAAAAACAATGATGCAGAAATTACCAAACGTCAAGCTGCATTTTCTAAATATTTAAATACACTCTCAATTCAACTTAGATTACTTTCAAGGACATACCAGGTAATGTCTCATTTACATTATTAATTAGAAATATGTCATTATTTCTTTGTTATAAAGCTAAATGAACCATATTGTTTTTAAGCGAGTGCAACATCAATTGAGACCATAAAATTACATACCAAGTTAAAAAAGTTGTTATGATTTTCATTTTTATTATTTCTTATAAAGAGAACTTTCCAACTATACAATATATTCTACTTTTTAATAAAATGATACTCTCTTTTGAGCATAGGTAGTTAATAGTTTATGAGATATTAATAATTAAAATTAGGAACATTTTATATTTTGAAGTACTGATTACTCACACAGTTTTAGTTATGTGAACAGGAATAGTGATTAAAGATATGAATCTTATGTTATTTTTTAATTAAGATCTTTTTTAACACTTTGCTACTTTATATATATCACCATAGTAAATTTGTTATATTACATATCTTAATTTTAACTAAATGTATTTATTTTAAAATATTTATAAATTAAAATTATTTTTCTACATATATTTCCTACATACGTACATATATATAATAAGAATACTTAGAGAAATTTCTTTTAGCGTCATTCAACAAAAAATGACTATGGTATCTATTATCACTCAATAGTAATGAACTGTTTACTGAAAATAATTAATTATTCTATCACAGAAATAGAAATCTGTATATTTTATTTTTCATTACATATGGTGCTCAAAATAATCTCTTGAATCTCTCACTTATTTTTAATAATATGAAAAAATATTAAAAGTAAACATTGTTTGATTTAAAGGAATAAATATGGTAAGTAAACAAGTTTTCTCATTCTTTTTTTCTCAGATTTCAAGTTTGTTGATGATTTTTTAAATAGTAGTATATATTTTCATTATCATTATATGATAATTAAAATCAAAACCTTTTTAATGATCTTTTTCTGTTTATATTGTCAAAATTTTTTCATATAATCAAAAACAAGTGAGATATTAGAAGCGATAAAATTATTTTGTTTTTAAAATACAATTGTCTTTAAACCCATTTTAATAATTATCACTATCTATTATTATTTCAAAATTGAGAAGAAGACAAAGTGTATATAACAAAAGTTGTAATTGTTTGATAATAACATTTTTTCTGAATTGTAATGTTTTGGTAAACTGAAGCCCATTTTTAGTTATTTAAAATGGAATGTTATATTTTTATTTTTATTTCTTGATATTGGTTTTTAACATAATTTTCAAGATATCATAAAAATATTTATTACATTAAACCACAGACCATTGTATATTATTGTATTGTAATAGCATTTACATTGCATAAGGTATGTTTAATTACTTTTTCAGTGTTCAGTTATTTTAAAAATATTTGCTTATTAAAAAGTAGCATGTTCTCTATAAACAGTCTTTAATATCGTAAATTGTTTTCAAATTATAATAGAATCTTAATGGATAATTTATATTAAAATATTTAGATAGCTTATAAATTAAATATTATTAATGGTAAAGTAAATTACAAAAATAAAAAAGAATCATTAAATAAAACATATTTTATATAAAAACTTTCTTTTTTCAGGACAGAGTAAAAAAATTTCTTATAATGCTTGCGTCAGCGGAAGATGTATCTCTACAATTATTGAGTGTACGATTAGATTTTAATGAGTATTATAAAAGTAAAGATAGTCGCCTTGTTGTACCATTAACATACTTACATCGTAGACAAAGTGATCAAAGTTATCTTAGTTGTAAGTAACAAGCACAAAAGAGAGATCATCGCTAATTAAACATGTTATTTTTTTAATAAAGTTTTATTATTTTATTTACTTTTTTACTCTTTTTGGTATACAAAAGTATACTATGAAAGATGACACTACTATTTGAAAACCATTTATATTATGATCTTGCTTATGATCTTATTATTCGATTTGTTTAAAAGTTCTGAACTTCTTATTTATTAATACAAAATAATAAAGAAGTATTAAAATTATTTTTATATTTTGTTTATAAATTTAAATAAACACAAATTAATTTAATAATAAAATTCAGTATGAAATATTGAAAACTAAGTTACAATACACAAATCTACAATATTATAAATATCACTTTTGTTCATTAATAAAATAGAATAGAATCATTAATAGAATTTCTTCAATGAATTTTTCTTGTTATAGAAAAAATTTGTTCATAAGATATTTTATATCATTATATTAATTTCATATCATATTAAATACATATTTCTATCAATTCAGTGCATGTTTACACATACAGTGGCTCACATTGAGCATACATCTATATTAATCACAAAAAATGTTGGAAGAATTAATGTAAATACACATATATCAGGGTAAAAACAGTATATAACGAGTCACAAAATTATTTGCTCATGCAATAATGCGATAAAGATTAATGAAGTAACCAGACAAAGGACTTTTCAGACTTTTGTTTAATGAATATACGTTATTTACAGGTAAGTGTAACACAATCATAAAAAAAAGTGAAAAGTGTTAATTTATAATTGCAAAAAAAATTTATAATTAATCTTTACACTTTTATAAAGACATAATAGAACTCATTTTAATGGCATAAAATTGAACGTACACGTATAATTAAGCAGCGTTACTGATAAATTTACTTCTAATTAATATCTTGTAGTGTAACCTTTCGTATGTATGACGGCTTGTAAACATCATAGCGTTGACTGAATTAAATTTTTTACAAAAGGAGATGGAATACTGTTCCATTCTTCTTCCAGCTTACTCTTAAAATCTTCCAAATTTTTTAAATTGTACTTCCTCATTCTAAGTTTTATTTCATCCCAGAAATTTTCGATAGGGTTGAGATCAGGTAACTGGGAAGGTGGTTTTAATAATTTTGGGATATTATAAAGCAACCATAGATGCACTATGTACGATACATGCTTTGGGTTATTATCTTGCTGGAAATAATAAACCCGTGGCATATTCATTTTCCCCGCTGATTTAAAAAAATTCTTTTTCAATATATTCAAATATTTATACAACCTCATAACATAACGGATCCTCCTCCGTGTTTCATTGTTGGGCATGTGCTTCTAACAACGTTTTCTGTGTTCGATTGTCTCCAAACTATTTTTTTATTTTTTTAATTTATAAATTCTTTTGTGAATTCTAATCGCTTCCGATGATTTATTTCTGATATGTAGGTTTTTTTCCTACAAACTCTCCCTTGGAATCCATCCCTTTTCAATGTTCGACGAACTGTTTCAACAGAAATTTGTTTCTTTATCCGTGAAAAAACGTTCAATGTTAATTATCATACGTTTGTCCTGAAATTTATTTTTATTTTCCGGCAAATAAAGCGTTCGTCAGTGATAGACAGCATCTTTTCCCGTCCATATCTGAGATTATTTCTCATATATCGGAATTTATTTATAATCTTCTGCACTGTCGAATGAGTACTTCCAATTATTTGACCAACTTTGCGAAAAGATTTACCATTATAATATAATTTAATAATGAAATTTCGCAAAGTAATATCGGTTTGTTTAAAAATCTCTCTTATTGTTTATTGCTTAAAAATCGAACTTCATAAAATATTTCGCGGGTTTTTCTCATAAATAGTACCAACTTTCGAACCATAAAAATCCGCGTACTTTGAAAATTGTTACGTGTATGCTCAATTTTATGCCACTAAAATAGAGTTCCATTATATTTTTTATTAAATAAAAAAAAAAAATTAACTTTATTAAAAATATCTTTTTTGTGTTAACAGTTAATATATGTAAATAGAATATATATTGTGTTTTTACGCTGACATATGCGTATTTAGATTAATTTTTCCGCCATTTTTCATGATCAACATAGGTGTACGCTCAATTTTGTGAGTAACTGTATGTGATAAATTAATATTTTATAACCAATAAAGTTACGAAAAGAATTAATACTATACAAAAATTAAACTAAATTTATAGTTTTAGTGATTTATATTTTCTTTAAGACTTACAAAATAAGATTTATAACTTTTATAATAATAGTAGAAACTAAATTTTTTCGGAATGTGTAATATTTCCATGTATTAAAAAGAAAATATTTTTTACATATTAAGGAATATTTTAATAATAATAAAATGTTATGTGAAAAATTAATTTTTATTATCTATCGCGATCGTTACGATTAAGAAATGTCACAAGATTCTACTATTGAAAACAAGACTACCAAATTGAGAGTCCTAAAATCTCAATTTTAGTGTTTGGTCTTATTGTGTAACATAATATTGTTGACACGCAACGTAATTTCTATTGATGCATAAAACTATTTAATAATATCCAGCCAGTATTTATAAACTACATACACGTGCCAAAGATATATCGCATAAATTTATTTTACATTCTAAATACAATTTTAACACAAATTTCGTAAAATTAGTACATATTTGATTCCCTTTGAATTTAGTTATAAAGATCTGTTTAAAAAATTAACCAAATAACGAATAAATAATTCAGTTGTAGTGTTGTGAACAGTTGTAAAAATATATTTAACTACATTTAAATATGTCTCTTTCATTAGACAAGGTGTTAGAACTAGTTTTAAAAACTGAATCTGTACAAGATCTCAAAGTTTCCATATATTCTTCGATGAAGTATGGAACATTAGTTGGTGCATCAACAGTTATTGGTGGTTTACTTGCTGGACCCATTGGACTTACAATGGGTAATTGCTTCCTACATTAATTTCACAACTTCAAATTTCATTAATACATTATTAAAATTGAATATAAAAAAAGATAAAAATAAATGTTTATTTTTAGGAGGTGTAGTCAGTAGCATAATAATGGGTTGTTATGCAAAGGACAAATTTGAATCTCTTTCATATGTTATTTATCATAGAATGACACCAGAAGAAAGGCAAAAGATATCAAAACAATTACTGGAATTTATTACAATGAAGAATATTTTGACACTTAATAATTTAGCACTTTTTTTAGTTGGTGATGCAAGTTTTGTGCAACAAATAATTCAATTATTAATAGCATATTTAGCCTCTGAGTTCAATATAACTGTTATACAAAAACAGTAATTTAAAAACCATGAAGTACCATGAAGTACTTTTTACATGATACCAATTTTCAAAATTTGTAATTTACAATTTATTTAATTTAATTTAAGTTATTTTAGATAACTTATTTTAAATAAAGTACAGTATAAGTAATGTATATTTTAATATATTAATTATTTTTTACTATGTAATATGGAAAATATGTAATAAAAAGAAAATACAACAACCTTTTTAATTAACAGTATTAACACATTGATGAGGAAAAATACTAATTCATGTCTTTCATTTTTCAACTATTGGTGATGGGAGACTCTAATTTGCATTTTTCATACTTTATATGGTTTTTGCTAAATATTTATTCAAGAAAAAAGTAAAAATATGTGGAACCATCAGAAAAAGGGAGGACTTCCATCAAATCAAAATCAAAAGAACTAAAGTCGAACTGATATCAAATGACCTTTGAAAGAAATGGTGCAATTCTCCTTTCATGGAAGGATACTTGACTAGTACATATGATTTCGACAATGTATGATCCAAGTACATTTGATAAATCAAACTGAAATGGTACTATAAAAATAAAGTCTACTTGTAATGACAAATATTATACTTTCATGAAGAAATTGGATAGAGTAAATCACTATTTATCTTACTATTCAATAATTCATGAAACAATGGAGTGGTCAAAGAAAGTATGGATAATAAATTATACATTGTTCAATTTATTCGTAGTATATAAAAAGTTAAATACTACAAAAAGAGACAACAAACAATATATTTGTAAATTTTGCTTAGCGCCTCACCATTGGGGAAATTGTTTTTAAACATATCACACTAAACAACGTTATTGGAAGTATCTTCAAATATGCTCATTGTTTCTTAATAAAATATTACACTTGTTAAATGCTAGATAATCTTTTGAATCTTTTCAATCATTTATTAATAATTCAAAAAATACATGGGAATTCAGACTACATGCTTATTAGAGTACATCGTCGTCAATGTATTAATGAAAATGTTCTGTTTAAATTGTCATATTAATTTTTGTACTATTTTAATTGTCATTTAAATGTTTTAAGCAATAATGGCTGATATCAATAAATCGTTAAATGTGTACACAAAAGTATCCGAATGCGTTCAGATGAAATGTTTAAGAATTAAAAAAAGGCAGTCAGATGCTAAATTTAAAAACAATTTTATATCAATAACAATATACAGGTATGTCGATAATACATGCCAAGTTTGGTCAACATACAATAATATTTACAAAAGATGACTCGAAAATATTGATATCATGATATCAAAACTATTTGAACGCTACAAAAGTATTCGAACAGTTTCATAATTACATATTATTTGTCATATTATTTTCATACATATAAAAATAAATGTATATATTTATTCATAAAAAAACATAAGTATAGGTTATCAATTTAGCAATTTCAAATTTGCCGCCTATACACAATTGCATGTGACAAAAGTTATTTTATTATTTTCTTGTTAGAATAACGTTACTTCCTATTTTTTATATTATTTTTATCTCCTTTACATATTTCTATGTTCCTTTTTGAGATTTTAAAATCATTAAGTTATAAAAACTGAAATTGCTAAATTGTATAATATTAATAGCATTATATAGTTTTATTTTAAAAAATAATAATTGCTAAATGAAATTTTAATCATTTGTTAACATATATAAATTTTTTTCTATAACACACATTGTTAATTAAAACTAAATTATTTAGTAGGAGGAACTTAAGTTTGAATACCACCAGATGGCGTTGTTTCCGTTCTAACATTAAATTATCCGTTCTTATAATTCCTTTCTATATGTACATGGCGTAGGTAAAGGTAAGTTAAATTGGAAACGTTGAAAATTATTGATAAATTTTAATTATTTCAATAATTCTTGAATTGTGTGTTTTGCAATTTTTGTAAATTTATTTCAAATTTACTTTTATGCCTACAGTCATAATATTTTTATATTTATAAAGTGAATAAAAGTTGTACACATGGTTCATTGTAGCAAACGTGGTTGTGTATAGTTTTTTGAGAGAATTTCGTCGATACAGTGTATAACTATTAAAAATCAATTTTCTAATAATTATAGCGCAGTTATATATTTTAATTAAAATTTAACTCCTTTTTTCTGTAATATAAATTGTTTTATACATTCAAACTGTTTTAAAAGTATTACTAATTTTTTAATTATGTGATAGTATTATATTGCGCAAAAGAGTGAAGAGCGTTGTGTAGTAAAGAATATAGTATAGGCACAGAAAGATAAAGACGTATGTGTGTGTGTGTGCTGTAATATACGCATATACATACTGTATATATACACACGTACGTACATATATACATACATTTATACATATAGGTAGGTGGAATAAATATTTTCAAATTTTATATTTCATACAATTCACAATATACATATAGTATTATATAATAAAAAGATTTCAATTATATTAATAATTATAATAT